CTCAGGGCTCGTGCTCGCCTTCGTGCTCTGCTCACGCATGTTACTGTCCCGCCATTCACCCTCCCGCCGACATATTCCCGAATCCCCGGATCCGCCCATTCGCATTCGCCTTCCTCGCGTCTGTCTTCGTCTCCGTCTCCCTTGAAGGCGTCCTCTCTTCCCTACTCTCCCGATTCGTTCTTCACCGGCTTCCTTCTCGGAGATCTGGACGCACACACACTGTGCTGCATCTCGCGTCGTCTGCGTGCCGCCTCGCCTGAAATGATACTCCATCATCTCGCGTCCTCATGTTCTCCTGTTGCCTCTCCTCCCGCAACTCGGCCACCTACTTATCTACCCCGTACCTACCTATATCTATTCCACCTATACCCCCGCCGTACATGTATCCTCTCAATCGACGAGACGCGCATATCCCTTGCCCCTGTGCTCTGTACTGTGTAGGCACCGTAACGTACGAATTCAAGTGAATAAATCCGTCTTTCGTCTTTCGTCTTTCGTCTTTCGTCTTTCGTCATCCGTCCCAACTCTTTCGTCTCCCCGGTCGTGAGCGCGTGAGCCCTACACGGCACTCGAATTTACCCCCTTCTTCGGATTCTCCAGCCATTGTCAAAGTTGTCGAAAAACAATTGTATAGCGGGTTATGGCAGATATAGATGGAAGGTGGAAGGTGGAATAAACAACAAAAAAAGTTATAACAATAGGGTAAATGTCCGCCGTCCGCCGTCTGCTGGCTGGTAACTCCTCCCCTTCCTCCACCGCTCCCACTCTGCGTTTACACACACTCCCACATTCCCGTCCCCGAAGACGCCGTACGACTCCGCTCCTCCCTCCTCCACACGTACGACACTCCAAACGACACCTCCCCATCCCTCCCCGTACGACTACTCGACACGCGCTCCCGTGCAGGGAGCGCGCGTTGTGGTCGTATAATAAATAAATTGTTTATTGTTGCTGGTTAGCTTCGTGTTTCTTCTTCTTCTTCTCCTCCTTCTTCTTCTCTTCTATACCTCCTCATCCCCTCCCCGCTTGGTTATCGTACACTCCCTGTCTTCTCTACCACGCGCCTATAACGACGCTGACCGCGCATTGCCCTCGGTGGGAGGAGACGGCGGTCTCCGAGCAGGCGACGACGCAGAGGCGGAGGCAGATCGTTTAGGTGCGGGTGCAGGGGGAGAGGGAGGGGTGGGGCGGCGGTACGTCTGTAAGAGAGGGGGGAGGAAGGTCAGCAAACGGTGAGAGGGGGGGAGGGGGGAGAGGGAGGGAGGAAGGGGAAGGTGACGTGAAGAAGGGCGCGCCAGGCACGGAAGGAGAATCGGAGGGCAGGGGAGGACATGAGATGAGATGAGTCGGGAGGGATAAGGAAGGCGCCGAAAGACGACGCAAGTGGTATGGGGAGATGTCGGAAAACGGGGCAAAGGTGGGGAAAGCGAGGAACAGCGAATGACGAAAGCGCGCAAGGCACGGATGATACATGGAGAAAGCGCGGAGCGGCGACGAGTGGTGTTGTGGTGCTGGTGGGGAGGAATGGGGATGGGGATGTAAGGGAATTGTGGAATTGTGGAGGTGACGGTAAAGGGAGCAATGAGGAATGAGGAACAAGGGAGTAGTGGGGAACGGCGTTGGAGTGGGATGGTATCGTGCCGTATCGTATCGTATCGTACGACAGCGATTGTGGAGGGTGGAAGGTGGAGACGCGATAAATGCACTCCATATCTCCGCGACTTGGTGGCTCCATGACGAAATCATCCAAGTGCGTGGAGGGAAAGAGTGCGGAAAAAGAGTGGGAGTGGGAGTGGGAGGAATAATCGGGGAAAAGGCACGGAGGTAACGAAGGCGATAAGAGATAGCAACGACGGCGACGTGTAGCAAGTGAGGGATGGAATAAAAAAGGCGAGGCGAGGCGCGCCCCGTAACGAGAACGGGGAGCGGGGATCGAAAATGGATGGAGAGATGGATGGACGGATGGATGGAAGAAGCGCGGAAAAAAGATATGTGATGGTGGGAATGGCGTATGTGATGGGTCGGAAGGGGTGACGTGGCAGTGGGGATTGAGGGAATGGGGCCAAACGAACAGGGCGTAATGCAGATAATGCAGATAAGGGTAGGGCGGGTACGTGAGGAAGGGAGGGAGGGGTACGTGGAGGGTGAAAAGGAGACAAAGGGAGGGAAGACAATGGGAGTAAATGGGAAAAAAAAGACGAAACAATTGGGAGGAAAATGGCAAGGCAAGCAGGGAGGGACGGAGGGCGGGGCAGGAGAGGAATACGCACATGACGGCTCATAATCATCTTCGCCATCGACACGGGCGTCTGGCTCTCGTATATCGCCGGTACTACACGCCCCCAAAAACCCATCAGTATCTCCCCCCCACCATCACTAAAAGAAAAAGACGTACGCGGTGCCTCGATATTAGCCCGCGCGCGGGGCGTAGCGAAGCCCACACCCCGGCCGCCGCGGTAGACGTGGCGGCCGCGCATGGCGGGGGGCGGGACGGCGTTGAGCGCGATGGGGATCGTCAGGTCCGAGGCTGATACGGCGGGGACGGGCAAAGGGAGGGTCTCCCAGCTGAATAGGCCGAGCCAGGAAGTGCGTTTCGCCTGTGCCGGGGTAGCGTCATGCTTATCGGTGGGCGAGGCGGGGACAGTCTTTTCGCTCGCGGGGAGCGCTGACGAAGCCGATGCCGAAGAGAGGACCTTGGGGAGGACGAAGGCGCGGAGGACGGACCGGACCACGAGGAGGAGGGTGAGCGTTGCGAGGACGGCGAGCGTCAACCGCACGGAGGAGGCCCATGCCCAGGAGTGCGGGCCGTGGGAGAGGGCGGCGGGTGCGACGAGGTCGAAGGGGTGGGCGTGCGCCGGGAGGATGAACATCTTGTCTGGTCTGCTCTAGGTCTCGACGACGGGGAGGGCGGAGACGCGGACGGGTGACGAGACGACGGCGGGAGAGACGACGAGCGTGAGGATTTAATTTGATGGGGGTCCTAGATATATGCGGTCGGCGCTATCCGGCCGTTGCGAACCGGGGGTGATCCGGAGACCAAGGCAACTCCGAGTCTTCTCTCCGTGCCCGACGCTTTTGGGTCCCCTCCTGATTCACTTTATTCCCTTTATCCGCTTTATGCGCTTTATTCAGTCGTCTCTACACAAGTATCCAACGCCCTCCCCTATCCTCCCTTTTTTCCTCGACTTGAATAGAGCGAAAATTCCCCGGCGCGCGCACGTCATATCGTTCGCGTGGGGTGGATCAGCGCACATCGTGGGTCATGCTCGGCTGATCGTCGCGGCGTGTCAAGCGTGCTGACGTCCCCGTTGGCGGTTTCATTCCGCGCGTTCATTGTGGTGCTCGAGGCTTTCCGCTCATTACTTAGCAACGCGGCGACGCCAGTTAGGCCCGGTTCCCACTCGTGTGCCTGTGTCCCTCGCCCTGCCCGTGGCGCTCTTCCCATGAATCGCATCGCGTCCACTGGTGTACCTGGAGTTTGAAGACACGGCGACACGGCGACACGGCGCCGTCCCTCAACGAAACTAGCTAGCTCGATACAACGCCCGTCTTGGCCGCAGCCGCAGCTCTACAGCTATCACCTCGAGTCGCTACCTGAAGCCTCATCTCCGACCTCCGACCCTCACCCGGAGGAGCAGTCATCGGATTAACCTCTGTTCCCGTGCCCAGCGCGAATCGTGAACTGCCTAATCCGAAGGTCATTGTCGCGTGAGGTACAGTTGGGAAGGGTGCGAGTACGAGCACCGATAGGGCCACGTATCCTGACTATGTGTTCTACTGACGTCGGTTTATCGACGTCTTCCGTTCCTCGACTGCTCGCGGATACCGTGACGCAACACGCTCGGATGTGTGCGCAAGTACCTGGTCTTGGGTTTTGTAGTTAGCCAGATGAGCTGTCCGCTAGCGCTCCCTGGCGTCCCGCCCTAACCGCTACGTGCCGTCCTGTCCGCAGATTTTTAATTTACCGCGGTAACCATGCCCTTAATCTCAATCTCACCTCCCGCGGCACCTCAGTCAATAATATCAATATTCCTTTCTTTGCCCCTTACCCTCCACTCCCCTTCCCTTCACGCAAATCTATCTCTTTTCCCTCCTCCGGTACAACCATCTCCGGCGCGTCTAATCCGCATCGCCGCGCCCGGCGGCCCTCCAACCACGCGCTAGCAGCAGCTACATGTATTTGAGCCGTGAACTTTATCCAAATTTGAGAAACTTATTGCAAGAAGAGAGAGAGAGAGCAAGAAGAAAAAAATGACGAGTCGACGACTTTCGGAACCAGTACAGTACCTTGAGTCGAACAAGGTCTTCGGGGTGCCAATTCAAATCAATGAACGTTGAGGGGCCCCGTGAGGGGCGGTACACCATGCTGCTTCTCATACCCACTCCTGGGAGCCGTCAAGTAGTGTTGAATCGGAAGAGGAACAGAGCACAAAAGAAAAACAAGATTGCAGAACTGAGGGAGAGCAGCACCTTGGATCGAACAAGGTCCTCCGGGTTAACCTCGGCATATGCGTTTACATTATCTATAGCAGCCCCGCGTGCGTCGATACACCGTACTGCCTCTCATACCCACTCATTTGAGCGGTGAGGTGCACCTGAATTTAGCAGAAGACGGGGAAGGAAAAAGTGTCGCAGATGAAGAAACAGAGCAGTACCTTGATTCGAACAAGGACTTCCGGGTTGAATGGTGCGCGAAACACTCAACTAAGTCCGGGGTGCAACCAAACACCATACTGCTTCTCTTTGCAGTATTTCAACTTGCCTGAGTGGCACAGATTCCGAGAACCGGGGGGAAAAAGACCGCGTGCTGGCAAGGATAGAGCAGTACCTCGAATCGAACGAGGTTCTCGGGGTTACCCATCAAATGCTTAAAGCAGAAAAGCAGAGAAGCCCCGTGTGCAACCATACACCATACTGCTTTCTACAGTGAGCTATTTGAGCGGTCAAGGGCACCCAAACTTGAAAGAGAAGGGGAAAAAAAGACCGCAGGCTACCAAGGAGAGCAGTACCTTGATTCGAACAAGATCTTCGGGGTTAATCTCGGTGTGACCATTACCTATTGAAACCCCGCGTGCATGCATACACCATACTGCCTTGTACACCGTATTTCAAGCCGAGTGAATCCGGTCAATTCTAACGGAGTGCGACCAAAAGAAAGGGGGGAGGAGGGGAAGTTGTAACGAAGAACCTGAAAAAGCAGCACCTTGGAACAAGGTCCTCGGGGGTAATTTCGGTGCGACCATTATTTATTGAAGCCCGTTTGCGTCGATACACCATACTTATATACGTACCCACTCCTGGAAGCCGTCAGGTGCTGTTGGATCTGAAGAAAAGCTGGGGTAGAGCAGTAAGTGCCTTCGAAACAAGGCCCTCGGAGTCAATTAGCATCGTCACCATCTGTATGTATCAAGCCCCGTGTGCATGAGACACCATACTGCTTGCTATGTGTTTTCAAAGGGCGAGACAGTGAAGGCGGGAACACAAAAACAGAACAAAAAAAGAACCGCCATCGAACGACTTTAGAGCAGCACCTTGATTCGAACAAGGACTTCCGGGTTGAATAACTGCCGATGTATGGGACTAGAGAAACCCGGCGTGCAGCATTACACCATACTGCTTCTCTTCGCAGTATTTCAACCTGGGTGAGTGGCACAAACGCAGGAAATGGAAGAAAAAGACCGCAGGCTACCAAGGAGAGCAGTACCTTGATTCGAACAAGGGCCGCGGAGTTACACTTCGAATGGTCCAAATCAGAGAATTCCGGTGTGCAACCCTGCACCATACTGCTCTATACACCTCCTTGTTTACGTTGTGCGGTGACCCTGAAAAGAGCAGAAGACGGGGAAGGAAAAAGTGTGCCTGATGAAGACAGAGCAGTTGCTTGATCGAACAAGGACTTCCGGGTTGAATAAATGCGGACGTATGGGACTAGAGAAACCCGGCGTGCGGCATTACACCATACTGCTTCTCTTTGCAGTATTTCAACTTGCCTGAGTGGCACAGATTCCGAGAACCGGTGGGAAAAAGACCGCGTGCTAGCAAGGATAGAGCAGTACCTCGAATCGAACGAGGTTCTCGGGGTTACGCCTCAAGGGTAGCGAAGCAGCGAAGCCCCGTGTGCAGCGGTACACCATACTGCTTCCTGAACTGAATTATCTGAGTGGCGAGGTGCACCTGAATTTAGCAGAAAGCAGGGAGGAAAAAAGTGTCGCAGAACGAAGATAGAGCAGTTGCTTGAGTCGAACAAGGTCCTCGGGGTTACGCCTCAAGGGTAGCGAAGCAGCGAAGCCCCGTGTGCAACGTTACACTATACTGCTTCCCACATTTTATTATTGGCAGTTGGGTATGCGAAATTCAAGAGACTTCAGGGAGCGGAGAAAAAAGCGACCAGGACACGAGGATAGAGCAGTACCTCGAGTTGAACGAGGGCCTCGGGGTTACACCTAAAGGGTAGAGAAGCAGCGAAGGAAAGCCCCGTGTGCACATACTGCTTTTTATACTGGATTATTTGAGCGGTGAAGCCGGCCCGAATTCAACAGATGCGTGAGGGAAAAAATTCCTGGTACCGTTTACGGAACCAGGTCTCAAAAGCGAGAAGCAAAAAAACCGATCATACAGATCAATAAGTCAATAACATAACAAACTAAAGTAATTAAATAAATAAAACGACAATCAATCCTTGTATGGAAATGCAGTGCACACAGATAAGCCAAAGAGAATAATACTAACCACAGCGCGCCCACGCACCCTCCTTATGCAACATTTCACCGGTATGTGGGACTACAGACTCACCAAGGCAAATTTTTGAATCAAAAAATCCCGCAACACTGAGCAGTGAGATCTGAGTGGGACGTGGCGTTATAAAGTTCGACTTTTAATGTCAGCATGCCGGGCGGAGCAGAACTTCATGAACCAAACTTTTCGTTCACCTTTGTGCTCCAGCTGCCAGTGTTTCCCACCACCAAGGAAGTCGAAAGAAAGCGGTGGGTAATGACCAGGGCTGCTTATTCGTAAAAGTCAAACCGAATTTTGACGCATCCTGATTCCTACTAGTAGCATCTCTCACTGTCCTGTAAGTATATTGCCAGAGATAAAATTACCACCTCCAGAGGTTGTGCATTGGAAGCTGCGCGCGGGAGAGGGATCCCGACGATCTCACTGGGTGTCGGAGCCACGATGAATACAAGAACTTAGAATGGAGAGTCGCTGAAGGAAATGTTAGGCTCGTACCAACCGTTATTGTGCTGGAAGTAATGACGGGCAAGTATTACTTACAATAACCACTTATAGCAAACAATACTTGCCCGTCATTGTTTCCCCGCTATAATGGCTGGTGCGATGATGCACACCAGCTCGCGCTGTGCACGAATACACCACTCCGGAGGCCTATCGGTCCGGATTTTGGATCATTGACATCGTACGACCTCGCGGCACTCGAATCAACGTCCTCCGGAGGCTCGGAGGGTGTCTTGCACTCAACACAGACCATTCGACATATCGTTAACTCAAGTCCGGAAGTCTCACGGTTGAACCTTCCTAATCCGGACGCGCGTATCAACTCCGGAATCTCCTTTCGTAACTCGACCGCGACGTTCCCACATACTATTATGCCCAACGGGTCTGCATTTTCCCAATGGGTCTGCATTTCGCATTTTTCTCCCTCCCCTCTTACTCTATCCCCCCGGAGTCTTTTGGGATCCTTTCATGTACTAGTAGCCTGTATAAACCTGAAATTTCTAAGGGATCCCAGAAGGGAGTCGACAGGGACGTGGTCGCCGGTCCATCAGTTCTGATGGATTTCGACACCATACCCATTTTCCCGTACGACGCCTGACTATAGAAATCTGAGGATATTTGAGAGGAACAACCTATTCAATCCCAAAGGTTCTGTCTCTTACAATTTTCTTGCCGGGGACCAGTTGCTGCATATTCAGCAGATACAGTGTTTAGTCACGCAGTGTCACAACCAAATTTCAGTGTTCGAAATGTCACGTCCGATCCACTTTCTCTCAATCTCGCAGCACCCGCTCCCCGGCAAGAAAATCGCAAGAGACAGAAGCTCTTGAATTCGGTTGATTATGCCTCTCAAATATTCTCAAATTTCTGCTGGACGGCCTCGTACGGGAACATGGGTGTGGTCCCAAAATCCATCAAGATTGATGGACCGGGGACCGCATCTCAGTCCACTGCCTTGTCGGATCCCTTAGAAATTTTGGATTTGGAGAGCCTACCAGTACATTAAACTATCCCGGAAGACTCCGGGAGGATAGAGTAAGAGGGGATGGAGAAAAATACGAAATGCAGACCCATTGGGAAAATGCAGACCCGTTGGGCATAATAGTACGCCTTATTTCCTCATGCTACATATCCCCTTTCTCTCTCCCAGTTTACTATAAATACCCCGAGTACTTACAATGTAAACTCAGTCTACTGCACCCCACTGCAATAAAGCTCACTTCCACTTTTCCCATCCATCGCTCTCGTCGTCCTCGCCTATCGCCTATCGTCCTCGTCTATCGCCCATCGTCCTCGCCATATCGTTCGCGTGGGTGGAATGGGATCAGCGCACATCGTGGTTCGTGCTCGGCTGATCGTCGCGGCGTGTCAAGCGTGCTGACGTCCCCGTTGGCAGCATTCCGCGCGTTCATTCATTGGTCAATGGTTTCATTGTGGTGCTCGAGGCTTTCCGTTCATTACTAATTAGCAACGCGGCGACGCCGGTTCCCACTCGTGTGCCTGTGTCCCTCCCCCTCCTCGTGGCGCTCTTCCCATGAATCGCATTGCATCCACTGGCGTACCCCGAGTTTGAATACACGGCGACACGGCGCCGTCCGTCAACGAAACTAGCTAGCTCGATACACCGCCCGTCTTGGCCGCAGCCGCATCCCATCTCACCACCCCGACTCGCTACCTGAAGCCTCATCTCCGACCCCCGACCCTCACCCGGAGGAGCAGTTATCGGATTAACCTCTGCTCTCGCGCTGTTCCCGTGCCCAGCGCGAATCGCGAACTGCCTAATCGGAATCCGAAGGGGGTCATGCTTCCACTCCAGCTCGTCAAGTGCGGTGTATTGGAATTGCGAGAAGCTGGCTCGCCATAGGGCCACGTATGCTGTATCCCTGATGTCACTGACGTCTTCCGTTCCTCGACTGCTCGCGGATAAACGATACGCTTGGCTGCGTTCAACTTCAAGTGCCTAATCTAGCTGGGCACGGGCTGTTCTGCTAAACGAGCGGCCCGCTACGTGCCGTCCTGTCCGCAGATTTTCAATTCACCGCCCTTAATCTCTTGATCTCGTCCGCGGCACCTTAATCATCCACGCTGCTTTGTTTGGCCCTTCCACGTCTCTACCTCTATGCCTTTACCTCCACTGCCGCCCCCGCCCTAGCCTCCCTTCACGCAACTCTATCTCGCTCCTCCGGTACAACCATCTCCGGCGCGTCTAATCCGCATCGCCGCGCCCGGCGGCCCTCCAACCACGCGCTAGCAGCAGCTACAGCTACATATACTTATTACTCGGTGCCGTCCCCCCGGAGGCCGGCGCATCAATCCGTGTCTAGCGCAACTATACAACGTTCAGTCCCAATCCTTCCCGCGAAAGACGCCTCATGCCCGCCTATAGCTCCCCAAACGGGATCTATTCAACACTCAACATTCAACAACACTTAACATCCGCCTTGATATTCGACTACGGCCTCGCTATTTCGTTGACCATGGATGCATATCCTCTTATCTTCTCATCCGCTTATCAAGGACAGCTAGTCCGCCGCCATCGAATTGAATTTCGGCCCGTCCTGCACGCAAATCCTTGTGTACATGTATCGCGTCCCCTATATGCCTGCGCTCAAAGCTCTGAGCTCAAGCTTCTCAACCAACTCCGTGGACGTTCCATACTGATGTGGCTCACCCTCCCGTTTTTAAGCGATGTTATTCGGATTTCACCGCGAAGTCCTGACCGTAAAAAGTCGAATTCGGAAAAGGGTCAGAGCAGTACCTGGCCTCAGGGTAACATTTCCCTTCGATACGCCCCGCAGTGGTACACCATACTGCTTTCTTTACTCGATTATTTGAGCGGTGAAGTGCACCCAAATTTGAAAGTGAAGAAAGAAAGAAAAGAATGACACAGAGTGGGTCAGAGCAGTACCGTGGTTCGAACAAGGTCCTCGGGGTTACGCCTCAAGGGTAGCGAAGCCCCGTGTGCGGCGATACACCATACTGCTTTCTCTATTCCTGTTTTGTGTTCACTGAGTGAGTGCAACAATCTTGCGGAGTGGAAAAAAAAATGGTGGACGGCTCAAGGAAGAGCAGCACCTTGAGTCGAACGAGGACTTCCGGGTTGAATAAGTGCGGACGTATGGGACTAGAGAAACCCGGCGTGCGGTATTACACCATACTGCTTTCTTTACTCAATTATTTGAGCGCTGAGGGACCGTTGAATCACAGACTCCCAGAAAAATATGTGAAGTGCTTGAAAGACAGAGCAGTACCTTGATTTGAACAAGGTCGCGGTTACTCCTCGCAACACTACGTAGAGAAGCCCCGTGTGCATCGATACACCATACTGCTTTCTATACTCACTCCGGGAAGCCGTCAGGTACTGATCAATTGCAAGAGGAAAAGGCAGAAAAAGTCGAAAAGCCGCCCGAGCAGTACTTCGAGTCGAACAAGGACTTCCGGGTTGGATACGTTGTTCCGCGACAACGGGATTAGAGAAACCATTACACCATACTGCTTCACATACCCACTCCTCGTCAGGTGGTATTGACTATTGAAAAGAATCACGGAATCCAAGAAAAAGGCGAAGAGCAAGAGAGAGCAGCACCTTGAATCGAGCAAGGACTTCCGGGTTTCAATATGTTACATATTCCACTGCAATTGGGACCAGAGACACCCGGTGTGCGGTGTTACACCATGCTGCTTCCTTGTGCTGCATTTTAACCTGGGCAAGTGCTGCAAAATTTGCGGAGTCCAACGAAAAAGAATGTGGACCTTTCACGAGACAGCAGCACCTTGATTCGAACAAGGTCCTCGGGGTTACACTTCGAATGGTCCAAATTAGAGAATTCCGGTGTGCAACCCTGCACCATACTGCATCAGCCTTTTGACAAAAATCTTGCGACCTTTTGGGCCTTGTGAGCTTGTCGACAAGCTCGCAAGGTCAAAAAGGGTCAAAAGTGAAAAAACACCCGTCATGAAACTGCATATGACCCCCAGATCACCAGGTGAAAAAAAAAAGTTTTTGGGAAAATATATGACCTTGCGAAAAAACCATCTCAGTTTGCGACCTTGCGACCTTGCGAAAACTTTGGTGTAGCTTGTGACCTTGTGATGCTTGTACAAGCATCACAAGCAAAATGTCAAAAGTCTGATGTGCTTCCTACACCTCCTTGTTTAAATTGTGAGTTGCACCTGAATTTAGCAGGAGACGCGCGAGGGGGAAAAAATATGTCTGAAGAAACATCAATGAGAGCAGCACCTTGAGTCGAACGAGGGCCTCGAGGCTAAATTCTTCGATCAACGCTACGTAGAAAGCCCCGTGTGCAGCGGTACACCACACTGCTTCCTGAACTGAATTATCTGAGTGGCGAGGTGCACCTGAATTTAGCAGAAAGCAGGGAGGAAAAAAAGTGTCGCAGAACGAAGATAGAGCAGTACCTTGCCTCGAACAAGGTCCTCGGGGTTACAGGGCAAACATTTGAGTTGACATAGAGAAGCCCCGTGTGCGGCGGTACACCACACTGCTTTCTACACTCAATTATTTGAGCGCTGAGGGACTGTTGAATCGCAGACTCGTGTGAAGTGCTTGAAAGACAGAGCAGTACCTTGATTTGAACAAGGTCCTCGCGGTTACTTTTTGCAACACTACGTAGAGAAGCCCCGCGTGCATCGATACACCATACTGCTTTCTATACTCACTCCGGGAAGCCGTCAGGTACTGATTAATTGCAAGAGGAAAAGGCAGAAAAAGTCGAAAAGCCGCCCAGTACCTCGAGTCGAACAAGGACTTACGTTATTCCGCGACAACGGGATTAGAGAAACCCGGTGTGCGGCGTTACACCATACTGCTTCACATACCCACTCCTCGTCAGGTGGTGTTAACTATTGAAAAGAATCACGGAATCCAAGAAAAAGGCGAAGAGAAAGGCAGGGCAGTACCTTGAGTTGAACAAGGACTTCCGGGTTTCAATATGTTACATAGTCCACTGTACCTGGGACCAGAGAAACCCGGTGTGCAGCCTTACACCATGCTGCTTTCCTGGCTATCAGTAGCCATCTAAATGTTGGTTAATGCTACACAAAAGAAAAACAAGACTGCAGAACCTGCGGGAGAGCAGCACCTTGACTCGAACAAGGACTTCCCGGTCGAAGTGGTAGTTCTAATTTCAATAGAGCCTGGCGTACAACATTACACCATACTGCTTTCTCTACTCAATTATTTGGGCAGCGAAGTGCTGAATCGCGGATTGCGCGGAATCCAAGAAAAAATGAGGGACAACACACATAGTAGTACCCTGATTTGAACAAGGACTTCGGGAATAAGGTTTCATCCGCCGCGTCCCAAGAAACTCCCGTGTGCTTTGCTTCGATACACCATACTGCTTTCCCGAGCTGTATTCCATCCAACCTGGGTGAGCGGCACAAATTCTGAGAACTGGGGGGGAAAAGACCTCATGCTACTTGAGTCGAACGGGTTGAATACGTTATTCGGGATCAGAGAAACCCGGCGTACAACACTGCACCATACCGCTCTATGCACCTCCTTGTTTAGGTTCACTGAGGTGACCCTGAAAAGAGCAGAAGACGGGGAAGGAAAAGGTGTGCCTGATGAAGAAACAGAGCAGTGCCTTGATTCGAACAAGGACTTCCGGGTTGAATAACTGCGGATGTATGGCCATGGCACTAGAGAAACCCGGCGTGCGGCATTACACCATGCTGCTTTCTATACTCACTCTGGGGAGGCGCCAGGTACTGATGAATTGCAAGAGGAAAAGGCAGAAAAAGTCGAAAAGCCGCCAGCGCAGTACCTCGAGTCGAACAAGGACTTCCGGGTTAAATACATTATTACGCGACAACGGGATTAGAGAAACCCGGCGTGCAGCATTACACCATACTGCTTCACATACCCACTCCTCGTCAGGTGGTGTTAACTATTGAAAAGAATCACGGAATCCAAGAAAAAGGCGAAGAGCAAGAGAGGGCAGTACCTTGAGTCGAACAAGGACTTTCGGGTTGAATATGTTATTCCACTGCAATTGGGATCAGAGACACCCGGTGTGCAGCCTTACACCACAGTGCTCTCTTAAGCTGTATCTCAAGTTGGGTAAGTGCTACGAAATTTGGGGAGTCCAACGAAAAAGAATGTGGACCTTTCACGAGACAGCAGCACCTCGAATCGAACAAGGAGTCCAGGAATAATTCTTCAAGCCTTCACCGACGTCTCAAGAAACTCCCATGTGCATGCATACACCATACTGCTTTCTTTACTCAATCATTTGAGCGGTGAAGTACACCAAAATTTGAAGAACAAGGGGAAAATGCAGGAGGGCCTTGAACAAGAGCAGTACCTTGATTCGAACAAGGTCCTCGGGGTTACGCCTCAAGGGTAGCGAAGCAACGAAGCCCCGTGTGCGGCGGTACACCATACTGCTTTCTTTACTCAATTATTTGAGCGCTGAGGGACTGTTGAATCACAGACTCCCAGAAAAATATGTGAAGTGCTTGAAAGACAGATCAGTACCTTGAGTCGAACGAGGGCCTCGAGGCTAAATTCTTCGATCAACGCTACGTAGAAAAGCCCCGTGTGCGGCAGTACACCATACTGCTTTCTATACTCACTCCGTACTGCTTTCTATATCAGGTACTGATGAATTGCAAGAGGAAAAGGCAGAAAAAGTCGAAAAGCCGCCAGAGCGGTACCTCGAGTCGAACAAGGACTTCCGGGTTGGATACGTTATTCCGCGACAACGGGATCAGAGAAACCCGGCGTGCAGCATTACACCATACTGCGTCACATACCCACTCCTCGTCAGGTGGTGTTAACTATTGAAAAGAATCACGGAATCCAAGAAAAAGGCGAAGAGCAAGGCAGAGCAGCACCTTGAGTCGAACGAGGGCCTCGAGGCTAAATTCTTCGATCAACGCTACGTAGAAAAGCCCCGTGTGCAGCGGCACACCATACTGCTTTCTACAGTCAGTTATTTGAGCGATGAAGTACCCCCATCTGAAAAGGAAGAAGAAAAAAGCACGACTTGTTGGACTGAGCAGAGCAGTACCTTGAGTCAAACGAGGTCCTTGGGGTTACTTTGAGCTAGGAGTCAGACAAGAGAAGGCCCGTGTGCATGCATACACCATACCGCTTCTCATACTCAATTATTCAAGCAGCGGAGCGCACTGAAATCGGGAAGAGAAGTGAGGCAGAAGAGTCCCATGACAAAAGCAATACCTTGATTCGAACAAGGTCCTCCGGGCTCAATGGTTTGTGAGATATTTAACTAGACCCGGTGCGCAACCATACACCATACCGCTTTCTTTACTCAATCATTTGAGCAGTGAAGTACACCAAAATTTGAAAAAGAAGAGAGAGAAAAAACCGACGACTGGGTGAAAGCAGAGCAGCACCTTGAGTCGAACAAGGTCCTCGGGTTTACAGTACAACTAGAAATGTACTGGCTGATGACACTGAGGGCAGCACCTTGATTCGAACAAGGTCCTCGGATTCAGATGGAAGAGTCACTGAAATATTAATCCTTGTGTACGCATATACCATATGCTCAATTATCTGGGTGGGGAGGAACACCTGAAGTTAGCAGAAACAAGGGAGTTGCCACCCTGCTTCCATTTCATCCTCTTGAGTCTTGGAGCGCCAGATTTTTCACCCATAAAAAATCCTAATGTGAGATTGGTTGAAATCACAGATTCCCGGCCGCTGAGTGGGTGATAGCACGGTGATTTCGAGGTAGCTTACATAGTTTTCCAAGGGGTAGTGTAACAAACACCACAGTTTGTGCCAAAGCAATCTTCGAGTCCACCGGTCTTTCTCCCTCTCGCGAGGGTTCAATTCATACAGGCGCTTCAGCGCGTCTTACGATCTGCCTATTACGCCCGTATGGTTGAATTTGCATTGACAGTGCCAAATCGTAATTGAGTGACATCCCGCTTGCATCGCCATTCCGACTTGTCGGATCCTGTTGGCAATGCAACCTTTTCCGTAAGTTTCGGCGAGACAAAATTAAGAGCAAGATCTATGTAAATATGAGTTTCCGATTCCATCAGTGTCAAAGCATTGCCTGGCAGCTTTTCTAGCATCTGGGCATGCTAGAACGCTGTGCTCAACTACTGCGGAGATTGGAACCTTATTCCGAAGAATGAAGATACTGGTTCCCGCTGGTAGGCATCTCCGTCCTCCCTAAATAGCTCAGCAAGCCAATCTCTTGTTTTTCAACAATGTTCGGACTAAGTAAGGACCAGAGATTCAGAAGATTTGCTGCTTCAACTCGTACAATCAGCTTGTGGGCAGTTTCCGATGGGAAATTTATCAAGAAGCAGGAATTGCATTCAGTCGCCGAACATCTGAATCTCTGTCGGCCGTGGCGCAAATTAGTTCCCTTTTCTGACCCGCAGATTGTGGCTGAGAATGCTGTGTGGTAACTGACACATCCCGCCGTCAGAATTGGATAAATAGTCCGGGATCTTGAGCTCGAGCACTACACCATGTTGCCCCTCTTCGCGCTCGTCTTTCTCTGTGTTCCAGGTACGTTACCACCCTTGTGATAGTCAACATGCAAGGCTGACACACACCAGCCTTCGGCCAGTTTACTGCAGTGTGCAACCCGCCAGCTGAAATATGCTTCAACCAGGCTTCTGTAAGAACTCAGTCTCATCTCATTCAGGGTTGATGATATTTTTCAAGGATGGACCGACAAACTCCAGTTTCGGTTTTATCCTCCCAATAGGAGGCACATTCACAAGCGACTTTCTTGCCTTGATTACGACACCGTTGCCGTCTGGATTCGTCGGCTTTGGGATAGGAAATGCCGGCGAAATTCCGGCGTAAGCGCACATGTGTGGCTAATTCATGTGTGCAATGACTCACGACGCATCCTATACAGATTGAATATTGTGGCACTGATGACGAGGTCGGCATATATGCTTCCCAATGTCCCATAACGCTGACGCTCTTCCAGTTCCAGTGGAACACCGCAGCAGGCGATGTTGGTCCAACCGTCAACCCTTTCGTTTGTTACACATTATCGCCGGTATTGATTGCTTCTGACGGTGCACAAGGGCGAACAAGACCCTAATTGTCCCAAATGCGTCGGGCGGAATTGTCTCCATTTCGAAGCTATCAGCTTTCACCGCCACATCGGCCACCTTCGTCTTCCGGTGCCAAAACTGCTCCTTGGCCCCGTCGGGCGATGGAGGATTCCATCTGACCGTGTTCCGATCCCTCGAGCCTGCTATCTTTCCACCCACCACTGGCGGGAATGCCACCCTCAAAACGGACAATGCAACTATCAGCGGTTTCGACATCCCTGACATTGGGCCGTTCACCAGTGTTGAATATAGTGACTTTTTGATCTCGGCCGCGGTTTAGTACAAATCTGAATAGATGCTGTTTCAAAGTACTGGTTACGGCCGAGTTTTTCCTTTTGGATAGATACATGAATGATCCCTGTCCTTGGTTGGTACTATAACTTTAATTCACTTTTGTGCCCGCTCTGGCTCCCGATCCTTAAAATAAGGGCGCATCGTGACTTTCATTCTCTCTATAACCTGAATAGGCTAGCATGGATGGTTACCATACAAAAATCAACCGCGGGAAGATTGCGGAAAGTTCCGAAGCGGCTTGACGGCATGTCTCGTCTAGATCACAGAGGGTTGTGCATAAACGAGGATATTGTAATATCAGCCTATGCAAGTAGCTGTCGTACTGCAGTATTGAAGGCGCGGGAAAATTATAATGTAGTAGACAAGTATAGCCATACTTCCCCGAAGGCACACTGCCGAAGAGTTAGACCTCCTCTTTCCAGGCTCCTGAAAAGTGCCTTCCTTTTCCTGCTATGCATTCCCACTTTTTCCCGTGACACTCATGCAATTACTTGCTCGATGCATGGTCCCGCATGGCTGGCTGTGCGAGTGGGTTGAATAAGTCACCCGGTAGCGGGGAGTGAAAATTGTACTCCAGGTTTCTGCTGATCTTTCTGTGTCTTAACTTACGCTCATCCCATGCGAGCTAGTGATGGCCCAAGGTCAAATCTACGTGTTGCAAGGGCATCTTCCCTTTATTTTTCAACCTCGACAGTTCGGACTGTGGCGTTCTTACCCATCAATACCGTCGTTTCTCGTATCCACTCCCCAAGCCCATTGGACATCTTTTCCGCTTCATCTGTAGTCCCATCTCGCAGTCTATCGGTCTCATACCTCAGCCAGCTTCGCATTCCGCCCTATCGCGTTACCCTCCCCGGATAACCGACCCTTCAACCGAACACTTCCACAACGGATGTCCGCATCCGTCGGCTCTGAGTGTGTCGCCAAGCCGTTAAGCAAGTCAACACGAACAATTGGAGGCAAGTGTGGGGAAACAACCTCGGCGGAACAAAAACGATATCCCGACAGCTCGGAATACAGTAAGTCGAACCCTTTGTCAGTTGAATCTTGATAAGCAGGTTCGAGAAGCAATTGATAAGCTGACTGAGTTCCGCCCTTTAAAAGGACTTGTGAGACCAAGGTTATCCACCACAGAAAGAACGAACCTTGCTCACAATGTCAACGACAATCGAAAAAGGCTCCCTGGTCCTCGTTACTGGCGCCAACGGATTTATCGCCTCACACGTCGTCGACAAACTCCTTGCAGCGTCCGCGGCACTTTGCGCTCCGCAGAAAAATCGAAATGGCTGCATGAGGTCTTCGACAAGAAGTACGGGGCAGGTCGCTTCGAATGCGTTTCGGTGCCCGATATGGTTGCCGACGGTGCATTCGACGAGGCTGTCAAGGGCGTGAGCGGGATTGTCCACCTTACCAGCATTGTCACCTTTAGCACAAAGGTCGAGGAGGTCGTGCCTCCGACGGTCAAGGGGACAATTGAGGTGCTGAAGTCTGCGGTGAAGGAACCAGGCGTCAAGTCCGTTGTCTATACCTCTTCGTCGGCAGCGTGTCTGCTGGCACAGCCGGGCAAGGTAATCGTGGTGACGGAGGACACTTGGAACGAGTCTGCTATTGCGGAGGCACACAATGATCCCACACCGAACCCGTGGGTTGTGTATGCCGCCAGAAAGACAGAGGCTGAAAAGCAGGTGACTGCGCGCTGATTCTGTTCGAGCTTGACAGTTCACGTTTTACAGAGCCGTGTGGCAATTTGTCGAGCAGACCAAGCCACACTTCCAAGTGTCCACTGTCGTCCCAAACGTAAACTTCCGGCAAATCTTCCAACCAGGAGATAAAGAGCTGTCCACCGCCGGATGGGTGGTAAAACTCAGCCGTGGCGAGAAGAGCGTCCTGCAATACCCCCCACAATGGTTCGTCAATGTGGCGGACACTGCGTGCCTGCACGTCGCCGGGCTGATCGATCCGTCGTGCAACGGGAAGCGCATCTTTGCGTTCGCGGCGCCGTACACCTGGAACGAAGTTCTCGCGATTTTGCGGAAACAGAACCCTGGGCGGAAGTTCATGGAGGATGCGCCCGATCAGGGTCGCGATTTGAGCCAAATTCCGAATCAGGGGGCCGAGGCGTTGTTGAGGAAGCATTACCAGAAGTGATTTACGGGGCTAGAGGAGACGGTCAGGGAGAATAGTGAGGGACTTTTCTGAATCCACGATCGAGGAAGCACTGTTTCGAGTAAAGGATATTATTAACTGTTGAGAGGGTTTAATCAAATGCCAGTTCAAGTTTGACTCTTCCGCACCCGCTGGGGCAACAACCACCTCCTACCCTTTTGAGTACCACGCTTCGCCATCCTCAGATCCGCCCAAACCACACCTCCGCCGCATCCTTCCCCTCCCCTTCAAGCGGTCGCACGTCCCCCTCCTTGCCCCAAAAATCGCCCTTAAACGCCCAGCCCTCCTCCTCGCCGCCGACCCACTCGACCTCATACCGCTCATCCAGCCCCACCACCACGTCGCCCCCCGCCTTACACCCCTCCTTCTCGCGCGCCTCGCCGTTCGACCATATGAGGCTCGCGTTGAACGTGTTGCCCGCAAAGTGCGCGAGGCGCAGGTGCGTGGAGAACGTGCGCTTGAAGGGCACGATGAACGTCGGGGTGTCGGGCGCGTCGGAGCCGGGGGCGCCGAGGATGCGCTGCACGACGGGGGTGTTGAGGAGCGCCGTGCAGCTGGATTTGGGCTGCACGAGGCAGGGCTGGATGGAACCGTACGCGCCGTGGGTGAAGGTGCCCTCCATCGCTGTGAAGGGCACGGACGGGAGTACGGTGGGCGAGGGGCGCGGCGTGACGTCTTGGTTTTTGCGAATAGCTTTATCACGCTCGTCTGCGTAGCTGCAAAATCCATCTTGGTTCCCATCTTTGCTTATC